TTAATCTGTATCCACATTTAAAATAAAAAAAAACAATGCCATATTGAGTTGGAATTTTTAATTTAAGTTAGAGAACCAGTAAATTTAAATTCACTTTTCTTAAAAATTTAATTTTTAGAAATTATTTTTACCCAACCTGCATGTTTAAATGCAAAAACATTANGTTAGAGAACCAGTAAATCTAAATTCACTTTTCTTAAAAATTTAATTTTTGGAAATTATTTTTACCCAACCTGCATGTTTAAATGCAAAAACATATTAAGATTTTTATCTTTCCCGTTGCAAGATTTGAAAACATTTAGATTTGTATTTTTAAAGAAATTAAAATGTAAGATTTGCAATTTTTTTAAACTCTTATTTAAATTTATAAATTACTTTGCTTATTCAACTGTCTATGAAGACTGAATTGTTTTAACGTTAAAATTAACAGATTACAGTTTCAATGAGGCCAATTCATATTACTATTCCTTCNATTACTATTCCTTCCAGCATTTATCGTAGAATTAACTAAGTAAAGACTTAAACCACTAATATAAGAAACAAATAGAAGTCCAACTTATGATTTTCAGTCAAACTATTTGCAAATTAAAGATTTCATTACTAAAAAGCATTTAAAATTTCTTTTAAAAAAAGCATATTTAAAGTTTCAAATAGTTAATTTTTTTTTAAACAGATTTTAACATTAGAATAGATACGGCTTAATTTACAAGATTAAGAATGCATAGGTTTAACAAATTCTTTAACAGTCAGTTATTTGACTTCCTTTTCATTTCTTAACTAGTTCTGTACTGATAAAAAGGCATACTGATATGTACATCAAAACAGGAAACAATTAGTTCGAGTTACACATTTGCCTCCGTACTTTATACCAAACTTTATGCTGTACAAAAAACATCAACTGAAATAGTATATTTTGAATAAGTATTTTGAAACAGTTGTCAATTCCCTAAAACAAAGTTTCGTAAAAAATTTATAAGTGCAGCTGCGAAATAATTTTTAAGTTCGAAGAAAAATATAGACTAACTTATTGTAGGGTGTGGCAAAACTTTATTGCAAGTAGACTTCCATGAACTATTGCTCTGTTGTCGTTGCTCTGTCTATTGACGGGAATTTAGATGTACACAGACTTCTGTTGATTCTGATAGAAGAACTAATGACTGCACTCTTGACGAAAATGGTAGTGAAGCTCCTGCTGTAAGAAAAAGACATTCATTAGTCACGAAGAAAAACTTAATTCATGTATAGCTTAAAAATCTTAATTTGAAACACTTTCTTAAAATTTATCACTATTCCATCGATTTAGTTTAAATTTTGTATTTTAAAGTTTGAGTTTAAAATAAAAAAAAATTTGTTTTTGTACCGAATTTTTCAACCACTAACATATTCAAAGCTATTCGTTATCAGGGATCGATCAAGACAAATTCTGGCCCAAGGTCCACAACATTTTCAGGGACCCTAACAAAATATTTTGAAATTAAATTTCTGGAGAGTAGTTCTAACTATAAAAAGAATCCATTGAACTGAAGTGCACGATTCAAGAGAAACACTCTAAAAAATTTTGAAAGTTGGTAATTGAAGATTATTTTTCGAAGTTTAAACAAGTAATTATTAAAGCAAAATATAAAACAAAACAATGTTGTATGAAAATAGTTTGGTGACCACCAACAATTGAAATCGGTGATTTTTGCTAAAGTCACTGATTAGCTGAATTATATTAAAGATTGCAGCCTTCCATCTACAGCTTTACATATTTAAGTTCTTGTTGACACTAATCATTTATAAGAGAATTTTCGAATATGCATTCTCGTTGCATTTGCTTAAGCCATTGGAGTAAAGATTGCACCAATTAAAATTCAGCTGCACTTTCCAAATTGATTAGTGCCATCTTTACACCAGTTTGGTTTATCACACTATAAAGAAAATTTGAAAATGCCTTTTTCGAGATAAACTGCTTCTTTCAGTATTTTTTAAATGAAATATTGTGGATTTCTTACTAATTTTTGAGGCCAGTGTAAGCCCGTGCCTAATGGGCCTAGGCGATAATCAGACCCTGGTTATGCAAGATTATCTTTTGATACACTAGTTTTCAAAACTATTCTGCACAAAAAGTTTTCAGTTAACTTTACCTATGGTAATGTACCGAAAAGAAAACAAAGCATTAAAAAGATTCTTGAGATTGAGTACCACCCAAATTTCGATTACAAATCTATAAAAAAGGTATATTCTAAGAGCATAAATTTGTTTAAATTCGCTACCTGATTGTTTAATTATCATATTCATAATTGATTCTTACGAAGATTGTACAAAGTATAATAAGCACATGTGCAATTATAAGTATATACAGCTTTTATAAGCACATTATAATTTAATAAGCACATGGTTTTTATTGAATAGTTAAAAAGACACCTTTTTTTAATTTTTACTTGTTTGCTTTAAGTTATTAACTTATCCAACAAATTGAAAAATTTTGTTATAATTTAACACTAACTAATTACTCTGATAAAAATGTAACAGTAAGGTAAAATTCCTATATATATATTTATGAAATAAAAATTAAAAAGTTACATTTAAAACAATTTTTGTTAACATATTTTTCATTAAATTGTACTCTCGTCGGTCCAAAAAGTAAATTATAATCTTTCGAAAGATTATGAATACTTAATTTGGGCTACATTAAAACTGCCTACACATATTCTGGTTGAAAATTAATTTTTTTCTTTTGGCCAAAGATCATAATCTTCTGTCCCACAGAGCAACGTAGAGCTTTATCGTCTATTGTCTTTTATCATAGTCTTTCCTAAATTAGAATTTTATTGTAATATTCAGACATTTTAAAGTTGCCTGTTAGTAAAACGGCCTCAGTGAGAAAAATAAATGAAAACAATTCAGTAAATTATTTAAATTATCATTTAAACAAAACTGCGAAAAGTTTTTTGAAAATAATTATTTAAATTATCATTTAAACAAAAATGCGAGAAGTTTTTTGAAAATAATTAATTGAATATATCACTTACCGGAAAAGGATGCTGTTGAAATATGCATTCGCACTGGCAAATTTTAAATTACATCTGCGATCTGGAAGATCCAACGGAATATTCGATTTAGGATAAATTGTCCGATTTCTTTTCATTTTTGAAACTATATAAAGTTCGATCAAAACCACTAATCTAAAACATCCGTACACCATATACATTGAATATAAAGAAAAAACGTCAAAATTATCGTATATAACTACAACCACTTATTAGAAAAAATAACAATTTCGATGTAAAAATTCAAGACAGTCACAACCTGGTCGCAAAATCTTAGGACAGAGGAACAAACTCTCGATTTCGGACATATATATACTCCATAAAAATGCCGATAACGATTATTTTATACAAAAATTTAATTTTGAAAAGGGGCCTCCCTAGCCGAGTGATATCACCCGCAATAGGCTGTGAGAATCGTGAAGATTTCAGGATCGTAACCCTGAATGTATTCTTCGCGATGTGCTTCAAGCATCATTGGCTACGGTCAGCGTGCGGGTGGGTGACCACTTGGATCCTTGATATTGGTCCTCGTTAAACTGTTCTTCCGTAAAGTGCTCGACGTCGCGTGCAGGTCATCGAGCTACCGAAACGTGGGTACCATCCCCTCTGCAGAGTATCAAAATTGTGATGGCATNGTGGTCACCCACCCGCACACTGACAGCAGCCAGTGATGCTTGACATTCGGTGATCTGCTGGGAACCGTGTCTTAACGCTCGGTTCACTGCGGGACTTTTTATATTGCATTTTGTTACGTTTGATACGTAAATATTTAAATGAAAGTGTACAGAGCAAAGCATAGCTAAAGAAGAATAAACTGTGCACAAACTTACATATTTGTATGGCTGATTCAAAAAATAAGTTTCAAACATTTGGCTTTTTGAAAGTCAATTCATTAGGGGCTTGTGTTACCAATATAAAGAACGGCTTATATAAGCTTGTCAAGTTGAAGCGCAGTGTAGAAAACATCGCAAGGATACATCCATATTTGATGTGGGGATTCGAACTTCTAAAACATTCTAAATGACATTTTCTTTTCAGCTGTCAAATCTTCAAAAAAAAAAAAGAAAAATAAATAAAATTTTGTTGCTAATCTCGGAATCGTCTAGCAGCGCTAGATGACTCCCATGAATCCGAACACTTCCAAAAACTCCATAAAAGGACTGGAGTCTCGCACGACTTCATCTTTACCGAACCCCAAATAAGTCAAGTCCCGCAGTGGACTGATCGTTAAGACACGGTTCCCAGCAGATTAACGAAGTCAAGCATCACTGGCACCAGTCTGTGCGCGTGGGTGACCACTTGCATCAGTCTGCGTAGGGACCGAGGGTGTGCTTTATGGGTCCTCGTTAAACAGCGCTACCGTAAAGTGCTCGACCTCGCTCGCAGGTCGTCGGGCTACCGAAGCGGGGGTGCCATCCCCTCCGCAGAGGATCAAAATTGTGATAGCATGTCTTCGCATCATTCTCCGGGATGTTTCCCAGACCATCGCCAATAGCTCATTGTGCAGCTCTAGTGCGACGTAAATGAACTACAACAACATCTAAAATACTAATTATGTTACCACGTAAAGTGCAATATTGCAAAATATCATGAGATATAAAATAATAAATGTGATGCCACGATAGGCATTACATTAATATTTCATATTTCCTAGCTTTTAAAATTTCTTTAATTTCTTAAACTTATTTTCTTTAAATCCTTCTTATCCGAATTTTAATTAAATTAAATTAATTAGTTAATTTTTATAAAAATTTATGAAAAGCAAACATAAAATATTTTATTCTTTTCTTACCGATGAATATAACTGCTAACTTTTTACTTCAATACTAATGTAGACTCATTAATTTTCTGTCGCGCCTAATCGAAAACAAAAATCTATTTATAACTCTCTATTATTACCACAAATATGTTACATGGTTATACTAATTCTCACAGTCTTGTAAGCGATTCGCGATCGTAAAGTATTTTCAAATCTAATACTGATCGTAGGCTTTATTTTTGGTTATGTTATCTCTCGATAAATCACCAACCTTGGATCTCCTCCATACTCCTAACTGTTCGTTAGGAACAATTCAATCACTTTTTTAATTTGGATTCTGATTAGACTGGTCAATACCCCATTGCCTGTCCTTATTAATATTATTATCCGAAATTTATTTAACTTAGAAAGTCTTATGGATAAAATTATAATTTGTATCTCCAGCTCTACAAATACTACTAAATAGGAGCTTTATTATAATTTATGATCCAGTTTTCATCTACAACTGTCATTTTTCATTATGCTGTTATTCATAACAATCTCCTATTAGTCCATTACAACAAACCAGGGCCGGGATAGCCCGGTCGGTAGGGCGCTGGGCCCATGTCCGAGAGTTTGAACCCCGCCTACCGAAGAAGTGACTGAGTGTAGTAAAGTGACTGATGCTCGTTAAATCTGTCGAGTCGCAAAAGTCCTCCATGTTCCTATGACAAATCAATACCTCTGGGGGGGTACTGGATTGGAGATCGATCGTTCTCTGATTCAGGTCAAAATTACGATCTGTGAATGAATGAATGGATGTATGAGTAGGTCCGCCCTATAAAACGGGTGTGACGTTTGGTGTGACAGAAGTCGAATTCTCGGCCATAGATGGCGCCACTGAAAAAATATAGAAACACACACTCTGCCTTAAATTTGCTCAGTTTCACCAAGCAGGCAGGCTTGTCCGTGTGGCAAGTGGCATTAGAAACAACAACAGCACAACAAACCAACTCCAACCACACCTAATTTCCGTCATTATAATAAATAAGATATAAAGGCATAAATAAAATAAGTTCATTGTTCTGGGAATCAGAATGTTAATTTAGTTCTTCGATAGATAATAATTCTGCCGTAAATATAATACTTCAAACTTTGACACTTCATCGGCTAGACCAAACTAACAGTGGAACACACCCTTCAACCACAACGGAGCGGGGAGGGGGGAAGGCGCACGATCCATAAAAAATGAATTTCATGTATAGGGGTGCGCACGCATCCCACAGCCTACGGTAGCTCTTGAACATTATTTTAAAAAAAATTAGGAATTTTAAATTGCGCACGAGTCTTTGAACGCGTCAAGTCTGAATCATTGTAGTTTTTTGATCTCTCTTTTTTTATGTTTACGACTACGAATTTTCATAGTTTTTAAAATCCCGACAATTCTAACAAGACAGAATTATGATGCGTAAATTTCGAATTTTGGAAATTACTTTTAAAGCCTCTTTATTTGAGCCCATTTCAAAGTTAATCCAAGTTATTTTCGATCGCGTTTTATCGGAAGAAAATTTTTCAAGAGCTAAGTCCCCCCCCCCCCCGAATCGGATTTCCAAATGTTTCTTGTCCGATCTCTTTAATATGTACAATATTAGAACTACAGATGTTTTTAATATGCATTAAATCGCGACTATAAACGTGCACTTTATTTGTGCCATCACTTTCATCGATAATGTAGATAAGGACAAAATAAAATATTTGTTAAAAATACTTTATAGATAATTCAAAACATGTGTATATATTTTTCGAAATTTTGACACCTTTCCTTTGATTTGGTATTAGGATCAAACTTGTCATTTGAACCCAAAAATTATCAAAAATTACTAAAGTGACCACCAAATGATCCCCTTATAACCAGCTATTAATAATAATTTGAATGCAATGGAGATGAATGCCTATAAGCGAAGTAGACAATACTACTATAAGTTATTTGTCATCTAATCTGCAACAACAGAAGTCACACTGATGTCACTTCAAAGTTGAATTATGCATAAAACTGAGACATTGCAAATTTTTTACGTAGTAAATAAAGGGTTTTGAGTTGATAGTACTATTTAGTATTATTATTTTCCCAATAATCACGAAGTCAAAATTATTTGATGGCACGTCTATGACCTCATTAAAGAAATTTTTAGAAAAAATGGCACGTTGTTACATAAAGGTTCGCCACCCCTGTTCTAGTGTATTCACATGATAATTTCGAAATGTATATACTATGTTCACAATGTTAATATCTTATAACTTTAAATTAATTTTGCACTAAATTTTTTTTTTCAATTTAAGTGTTTATTATTCAATTTATGTGTACTTAAATATGGCTCCTCCAACTGATCCTAGTGTGACTGTAGATCCGCACATTTCTCACGTTGCGGTAAAACCACCGCCATTCTGGAAACGAAACCCGTCTCTTTGGTTCATTCGTTTAGAGGCGCAATTTTCATTAGCACAGATTTCCGCTGATGAAACTAAATTTAATCATGTCGTGGCTGCTATTGATTCAGATATTTTGAGTTCTGTTAGTGGTATTATATAAAAACCACCGCTTACTAATAAATACGAAGAATTAAAAACACGTCTGATTGAATTGCATTCCGAAAGTGAATCTTCTCGTATTCGAACATTACTTCAAGGCCTCGATCAACGCCCATCACAATTGCTTATTCGGATGCGTACGCTTGGTGGAGATTCAGTCTGTCACTCTGCTAAAATCCCTTTGGTTAGGACGATTACCAAATAGCACTCAATCCATCTTAGCTGCACTCAACGAAAATTCAAATCAACTCGCATCCATTGCGGATAAAAATTCACGATTTAACTCCTCATTCCTCGATTAACGTAGCTCAAGTAAAGGCGGCAGCCCTGAATACTGTTCTTCAAGCCCCGCCACGGTTCCCAGCAGAACACCGAAGTCAAGCATCACTGGCTACGGTCAGTGTGCGGGTGGGTGACCACTTGGATCAGTCTGCGTAGGGACCGAGGGTGTGCGGTATGGGTCCTCGTTAAACTGTGCCAGCGTAAAGTGCTCGACTTCGCTCGCAGGTCGTTGGGCTACCGAAGCGGGGGTGCCACCCCCTCCGCAGAGGATCAAAATTGTGATGGCATGTCTTCGGATCATCCTCCGGGATGTTTCCCAGACCGTCGCCAATAGCCCATTGTGCAGCTCTAGTGCTACGTAAATTAACAACAACAACATCAAACCCAGATTGACCAATAATCGAAACAAGTTGAACAATTAACTTCGATTATACAACAACGACCAACTCGAAGTGATAATACTTATAATAGATATCCCAGATATCGAAGCAATTCACGTAATCGTTTTCGAAAGTATAAAGATCCAGCTAATGGTATGTGTTTCTACCATACTAACTTTGGTGATAAAGTCACTAAAGGCAACTTACCGTGTTCTTTTCGCCAGTCGGAAAACATTTAAGGCGATCTCATTCCGGTCAAAATGATGACCGCCATATTAATCGGGTATTATTGACCGAGTCGAAACTTTCTTTTTTAATTTATACCGGTGCGGATATATCAGTCCTTCCTAATACTTATGCTCCAAACCTTAAATTACAGGAAGATTTAACTCTCTTTGCGGCCAATGGTACAAAAATTGCAACTTATGGGACAAAACGAATTGCACTTGATTTGAATCTACGCCGCCAATTCATTTGGTCATTTGTTGTTG